ACACCGTCCTGGCTCGAGAGTTTCGGCTGAGCTGCCAGGCACCAGAGGGGAACCAGGGTTGACTTTTCCAGTGAGATCCTTCTCCGGAAGCATCGGTTGGAATTGCGTGGGGTTATGGGAGATACTATCCTTAAATATGCATCTTCATTTGTGCGGGCTGCAGTGTAATCCGCTGATTTGGCCCTCTCGCTTGTTTCTATTAGTATAAATATACTGGGATGCACAGGCTGAAGTTCAACATTTGGACACTGACTTTTAGTCATTAGGACCACAGGGTGGCATGTTCAGGACCCCAAACAGAAAAGCAAGTGTAGGAAAGCTAGAACCTGAATTCTGTCTCACCAGTAGGGAAGTACTGGGACTCCACTTCCCTGCTGGTAGAAAAGTCATACACACATATTTCACAATTTGTTTTATAAAATGGAATCACTTATTCATAGATATTGTTTGGTGTCCTGCTTTTGGGGTCCGGAAAACACTCTTTCCATTACAACAAATACATTTCCACTAGGCCTTTTTTTTTTTTAATTGGGGAAGTGGGAGAGGGGAACAGCTTTGGGGAATGGGGAAGGGGAACAGACAAGTTGCTGTCCTTTTGTTCTTCGGTCTAGTTGTGGAGGACGTTGCTCCACTGGCCCATGTTGCTATTATCATGTCGCTATTCCCAGGTGAGGCACTCCCTCCATGGCCATTGGACAGCCGCTCACTGGGGCTCACCGCAGCTCATGAAAACTCACGTCAGCTGCCGGCCAGCCTCACTGCAGCCTATGCAGTAGCCGTCTACTCACAGCAGCCCAGCTCCAGGTCCAGATATTGTTCAAGATCTTATCTATAGAAGGCGTAACATCACTGGCACTAATGTGTGATCTGAAACCGGGCCCTGCTGCTCAGAGCTGGTGTCCCATCCCAACTCTTAATGAATGCGTCACTTTGCTGCCCCTCAAGGGCATTTTTAAGTAGAAAATATTACCTTTCTAGAGGCAGTTTACTTTTTCAAACATACCAAGCATGATTAACATGGATATGGCCTCCAGCTTTTCACTCTGAAACACATCGCTGCGAGGCCCCTCCTTCTTCCTAAAAATTGTTCATATCCTCAATCGTGTCCCTGTTATAAACAATAAAAATTCATTA